CCAGGATTCAAACCTGACTCACCTTTGTGAAAACGCAATGTGTTATCCATTTGATGGTGGAAGAATTATATGTTGTTTGACTGATTGTCCTAGTAGACAAAAATAGGAGAATTATATTGACATGGTGTCAATAAAATATATTTTCCAACAAAAAATATTATAAATATTAGTAATTAATATTATAAATATTTTTATTAATTTATAATTTTTTTCCTCTAATACCACTGTAAAGTAATTATCCTCACAAAAATTAAGTTTCATACAAAATGACTAATACAAATATTCGTATTGGATATGACATTGATGTTAATAATATTTGTAGGGAGGTTCAAGGTTAGAGGGGTGATTAGAGAGGCAAAACTATGTTAATGGTCCAATAATGGTGGAAATGGTTGGAGAATGAATAGCAACAACTATCTGGGAGTTGGAGAGTGTGTAGTTGGGTAAGGGTGAAGCAAGTGGCTCAAGAAAAAATGTATGGTAATACCAAAATAGGCAGTATCTCCCCCAAAATCTCCAAAATTACTCTTTTGAACCTTGGGAAATGGGTCCTATTCATAGGCTTTTCCTTGGTACCAAGAGGACACCAAGTGGCCAAATAGAGAGAGCACATGTGTCCTAGAGGATCACATAGAATATTCTGCCTTGGGCCACCAGGTTGAAGGTGCCACGTGTCCCTCTACATGTACTGTGTACTATCTGTTTGCCTCTGCAACTACTTTTTTGAGCCTTAGCAAGTGTAGTTACAGCGGAAGTGTTTGCGTTTGCACTTGCCTTCTCAACTTGAACCTTAGTAAGTGCACTAGCAGCGGTGAACCTTGCCGCTACACTTGCCATCTTAGTTCTATTTGGCCAGTAAAGGCATTCTCAAGACTCTATTAGTCTGCTATCGACTATGTTCGTGCTCACCTCAACGAAGCCTCCACCGTTAGCCACCTAATCACAAACTCCCTAGCTTCCCAGGGCGAAGGCCACAGCTAAGCCTGCTATCAACCATGCTATGCTTTAGTACCAAGTCTAAGGCGGTTTCCTTAGTCCTTCCTGTATAACTAAGACAGGTCCTTGACCTGAGTAATGGAAATGGAGTCCCTTATGCTTGGGCTACCCTGCTCGAGGAGATAAGGACGATCGACTCCGAACCAATCAAGACACGCCACCTGTCTTCCTCATCCATCTCTTATTCTCTTTTATTTTCTATATAAGGGATGCCTCACCCTTGTTGATCGCACGAGTTGTAAAAAATATAATATCAGTTTGAAGTGTGCTCTCTCTCTCTCTCTCTCTCTCTCTCTCTCTCTCTCTCTTCAAAAAGCGTGTACTCCTTCTTTCCCTTTGAATTATAATAAAAGCTTGAAGTACTGGTTGTAAGTATTTTCTTTCATCTTTTTTAATGTATGAGTTCTGTTGATATACTTATCTTGCATGAAATTTTAGATTTTCATATTCAAAGAAAAAATAATTATTTAAATTTTCTTACTGCATTCCCTAATGACCCCTGGGGTCTCCAGCAATTAGAATATAGTAACAAAACAGATTGAAAAAACTCAATCTCAGATACAGGAACAGATAATTGCGTGGGAGACCGCCGGAAGGCCTCCACCACCTATACAGTAAAATCGTGAGGCCATATATGGCATAACTAAGATAAAATAAAATAAAACTATGGACAGTAGTCTTTCTCAGTTTGTGCTGATTGAGGGTAGAACAGTGTAAGATTGAGTGGGACGTGACCCAAGTCACGTTGAGTTAGACCATTAGCAGTGATTGCTGTTAGGTCATTTGATCTCGTAAGTCGTTGACAAACGTGCTTAGCTAAACCCTATGTCAAGCACCGCAATTATTGGTATCAGAGCCAAGTTGAATTTTGGTCATAGTTTGTTTTATTTAATTTCCATTATACATATATGGTCACATATAACCATACGTGAGTACTGTACCTTCAGAAGACATAGCCAATACAGTATACAATACAGTAGCTAATACAGTAGCTTCTACCTGAGGAGCCAGAGAGCTTGTAGCTTGCCAGGATGTTAAGGAAGCCCTAGATAAGTGGACTATCTCTAAGATCAAACCAGATACTATCTATAAGATAGGAAACTTTGATTTTTCCAGTAGAAAAATAATCAAAACCTTTGAACATGCAGTATCTATCCAGCATGAGGATGAGATCATGTATCTCCTCCATATACTAGATCTCTATCCTTTTTTCCAGAAATATAAGTATGTCCACATAGGACTTGTCCAAATAGCCTTTAAGGCTTTGACTCTATTAGGTCAAAATACCAGTATCCAATGTATTCTTCGAGATGATCGATGTCTCGTTTGGAGAGCATCACTTATGGGAGCTATAGAAACTAGCCTCTCACATGGTCCAGTGTATTTCAACATATATCCAGACCTTAGTATAGCACTTACAGATGGTAATCTGTCCAAACTCTTAGAACTTAGAGTGTTATCCAATGGCTATGAATATCTTCCAGGATCTCCACCCTTTGTGGTAATTTCCAGAATTTATCTTAAAGTTTTAACAACTTTAAATCCTTATATCAGAAAATAGAGTGAGTTAGAACATACAGTCCTGATAGACACCAACCTTTTCAGTAGCCAAGTTGCAGTGCCAAAAATGATACCGTGGCAAGAAATAAAATTTCCAGATAGATGGTAGATAAACCAAGCTGTTCCAGCCGGGCCAATTGCCCAACAAACATTGGATGAAGTAATCCAGACACAAGGAGGAAATGTTTACCTTACCTTTAAAAGGCCACAAAGGTCTTTATCCAGAAGTATGTCTAGTACTAGTTATAGAACTGCTCCATTTTATAGAGTAGATTTACACGAGTCTTCCAGACAATCGTTATCGGAACCAGCAGAGTCGATCTTACAAGGAATGCCTTCAAGACCAATCTCCAGACCTCCAAGTGATACACAACAACCTGAACCTACAGTTGATCCTATAGTTCAGGGAGTTCAATTTTCAGGGAATCAAATGCCGCATGGTATTTATGAATCAAGAAGGCCTTATAGCCATACAGCCAGTGATATGAATTTTGAAATCTAATGGATTTTACACCAGGAAGTAAAATTAGAAAAGCCTTATATGAGGATCTATAGAAAGAAAAATACAGAACATTTAGAGAATGGTATTTTGGTTACCATACCCCTCTCCAGTCAGAACAATATAAAAACTAGTATTATGTTCATTTCGAACAACATCAAAAATTACAATCTTTTCCTTGGTGGTATGTTGAAAATATCACTCCTACAAAATTTCAGATTAATGTCATTGAGAATATGCAGAAAACTTGGGTCACCACCGATGGTCAAAGTTTTGTTTCTGTCCATCCACCAACCCAACCCAACCCAACCCAAAATCTGACTGTAGTTCGGAAAAGTTTCATTTTTGATGCAGAAACTACCAATCCATTTCTGATAATGACATGCTTAAATATATTAAGATGTTTCATATGCTGGTCAATAAATAATGAAAAAAGTAAAACATCATCAACGTAACAAATAGAAAATTATGTATAAGCATTGAAAATATCATTCATTAAAACATCATCAATGTATCAAATAGAAAATATCATTCATTAAGATGTTTCAATCCAATTGGCATAACATTCCATTCAAAATGTCCAAAAGGTACTGTAAAAGCAGTTTTATACCTGTCCTTTTCGGCAACTTCGACCTGCCAATATCCGGATTTCATATCAAATTTTGAAAATATAATAGCGTCCTGTAAGCGGTCTAAAAGATCTTTTTTATTTGGAACTGGATACCTAATCCATTGTCTGGCATAATTTAGAGGTTTGTAATTAATTACCAGTCTTAGCACACCTCTTTCAATTTCTGCATTCTTATTAACAAAAAATGTTGTATAACTCCAAGGAGATTTACTGTACCTAATATGTTTTTTCTAGAGAAGAGTACTAATCTCTGTTTTATAGAGTTCTAAATACTCTTTTTTCATCTGACTAGGACGAGCTCTGGTTGGAATTTTACCCTTATCATATCCTAGTTCATAAGGAAGAGAAACAATGTGTTTCTTCCTATTCCAAAAAGCATTTGGAATATCAGTACAGATTTCATTTTGAAATTATTGTTCAAGTGATTTAATCTTTTGCTGGAAAGAAGATTGCTGTAATCTTTGTTCTGTAGTTAGAAAACTAATTTCTTTTTGTAAGAAATTAATTTGTTTTTCTTTGAAATTAACTAGATCTTAGATTTGATCTAATTCTTTGGTGTAAGGTTTTGGAATAAACGCAAAAATAATCAGTTGATCATTTAGGGTTGTATGAATGCCAATAGAGTCAATCTTAGTTATTGGCATTAATAAACACAGAAATGGTGTCCCTAAAATTATTGCTTGAGAATATTTTTTATTAGGACAAAGGATGTGGGTAAACACAATCCTCGATTGCAAATAAGCACTTCTGGAAGTTTGTACCTAATGTACAAAGAATTACCACTTGCACTGGTGAGTGATTGAGTTGTTTTATGGAAATATGTGGTTGGTATTAATCCTTCCTGAATACAATTCATATAAGCAGCACTGTCTACAAGAGCAATAGCGTCTTTTATTATCAATTCTGGTTTATAATAAAAGTAATTCTGATATACCATTTCTGGAAAGTAACTCAGTTAATAAGGTTCAAGTATGCTAAAGATGCATCTTGAATAGTATTGGATTCAGTTACTTCTAATTTTTCTGTATTTTTGGAACTAACTTGTTCTTTGATTCTTTTAAGATCTGTATTAATAGCAATATTTCCTATTTGTAAATGCTTTATTTCAACTTTTAAAGCGTTTACTTCCATTTTAAGATCCTGGATTGTTATGGATTTTTCTTCAGAAGTATTTTGAATTCTTTTATATACTTCTTTCATACTGTAATGCTTTGGAGGTAAAATTTCTTCTTTTTTGTGCTGTTGGTAGCATAGTTCAAGAAATTTTAATTTCATTTCTGGATCTGTGATTTAATCAGCAATATTCAACATTTGCTATTCATCATCTGTAAGAACAATGATATTAGGACTACTAATATCAAGTCCATTCATCTCGACTATTGCTTTCCAATAATTGGCTTCTTCTGTTATTTGATTAATTTGACGTTTACAGGAACAGATTTTCGGAGGGGATTCAGGATCAGTATGAGAAGATGATGAATATAGTATTGCAATACCGTCATCTGAAGTAGAGTCTAAATCAGAGTCTTCATAATCCATCTGAAAAATTTGTTGCTGAATTTCATCGTCTAAAGCTAATTCATTTAATTTTTGTTGAATCTTAGCTTTGCAACGATTAGCATAGTGACCTGTTTGGCCACACTTGTAACATTTAACTGTAGATTTATCTTCTTGTGGATAAGATTTTTTTGGTTTGCCTTTAGTTCTAGAAGGCTAGAGTTGCTGAATAGTCCATTTATGATATTTATTTTTTCTGGATTTCTTGGAACAATTTTTTGATGATTTTCCAAATTTATGTTTTTTATGTTTATGTTTGGATGGATATTGTATTTTAGTTTCACAGGCAAATTGTTCACTAAATTCACTTAATTCATTTTGACATTGCTTTTTCATTTGATTCTGTAATTTCAGATCATTGCAAAGAGCAAGACCTTCTTCGGTACCAATTCTTATGAGTTGACCATAAGTATATTCTGAATATGGAATAGACATTTTGCTATGCTTATCCCTCAGTTTTTTTCTGATTCTTTCAGCAAAGAGAGTGGGAAGGCCATCAATGAATTTGGCTTTCCAATGTTCACTGTTAGCATCAGATCTTCTAACAACTCTCATCATGAACACATCTTTATACCATCTAAAATGGGATAAAGGACATCTTAAATTCTGTAAAAGTTCTCTACTCCTATCTTCTAAACCATCAGGAAAAGCCCCTACAAAATGGTGTAAAATTGTATAGATAAGAGTATAAACAGCGTCCTGTTCAGATTGAACAGTACCTGTTAAAGGATCTGTAATTCTTTTAAAGGCTGTTAAGATTTCTGTTTGTTGTGTTTCTGTAATAATGTTATCCCACCATCCTTTTAGGATGTTGGTAAAACCATTGACCATAAATCTGGCGATTTCATGATCATCATTTTCATTCTGTTTGCAAATTGTTGAATACATAATCATTTGATGCAACAATTCAAATATCTAGTATTCAGAAAGACCATCTATATTCCATTCATAAATGATTTTTCCATGATAGGATTTCTGTGTTTGTAAAAATCTTATTCATAAAGAAGATCCATAGGAGTGCTTCCAGGGTAATAGTATCTCGTTGGGGCAGTCCTTGTAGAATTTCTAGAAGTTTCTCCATAATGAACTTTATTTATGGAGGTTGGATTTTCCTAAAAGTTATTTTCAATTTCTGTAATTTGAGAAAGTGTTAAATTTTCTTCATTTGGATTATGCTGCCTGGATAACATATTAATAGAAGAAGATTCTCCAATTTTAAAACTTTTAATCTTATCAACAAGAGTATCCATGAATTCTGTATTTTTCTTAGTAGTAGATAACTTAAATTTAGTTACTTCTAAAGGAGGTTTAATTGTTGCAGGAATAACTTCAGTATGAACTTCAGATTTTGGCTGTAAATGACAACTCTTTTAATTTGATTAACAGTTTCTTCAATTCTAGTGAGTTGTTTGCTAGCTATTTGGCAAAACAGATTTTTATAATTATGCTGTTTGAATATAGGTACCATATCCTGAATGAGAATAGGATCCCTATTTTGTGATTTGTGTGGAATTTCCATATAAGCAGCAATGGCTAAAGGTTTGGTATTACTGCTTAATGGTTGTAACTCCAGGGGTTGGGTTGGTGTATGGACAAAAGTAAAACTTTGACCATCAGTGCTGACCCAAGTTTTCTGCATATTCTCAATGACATTAATCTGAGATTCTGTAGGAGTGATATTTTCAACATACCACTGTAGACGTCCCTAAACGCCCCGGGAGGGAAATCCCCCGTTCTGTTCTTTATGGGCTCACTGCAGTTCAGGACTCAATGTCACGGTCCGATATCTAATCTCGCAGAGTGCGATGCAAGACCGATGAATCATCAAAGAGTCCAAATCTGGCAAATCATTTTGCAAAATAGATTTTTTTGAAAGAAGTGCCAAACATGGACTGCTTTGCCAGATACAGAGTTGCCACCTAAATATTTTATTTTTGGGGAATTTAGGAAACCCTGACTCGTGCCTAAGGCCACGTGTCCGTCATCACCAAAGTTGCCTCGGCTCGAGAACTTGGGTACGATTGGGGAAGGTCACTTCGTGAGCACGCCCGCTCGCCTGATCAAAGACCGACCTCTACTAACCATGATATCTAGTTTTGAAAACATTATGCGTTCTTATTCTGGTTATTAGCCTAGATTTACTATGTGATGCGCACAGCATACAAGTATAGACTGGATCAGCTGAATTGGAACATAACATTTCATGTTTGTTTTTGAAAGTGGTTTGGTACTCGCAAGTAGGCTTAAAATGCAAATTTTGCCACACTTGGGTGGGCTTAGAAAACATGGTTTTGCCACTATCTAGTGGGCTTAAAATTCACAGTCAATGCATTATTCCAATTCAGATAAGCAAATAGCGTCATGGTAACCATGCTGTAACGCCCTCAAAATAAAACATTAAACCCATCAATATAGACATACATTGATATATATAAAAGCTCCACATTCTTTTATTCAGCAGAGTTTCATTACAAAAAGTATTACATGTTAACAACAAAAGCAAATGCCCTAAAGGCTTACAGCTTTCCAAGCTAACACTTGGTTACAACAAAAGAGTACTAACTCATTTACACATTAAGCCCTTGGCTTGAATATACATGTAATACATCAAAAGGGAAAAGACAACAATAGTCTGCCCGCCTCTAGCCTCCCAAGCTACGTCCTTGGAGGTGGCATTCTACCTGTACCTGAAAATGATGTTCCTATATAGGGTGAGACACAGCCCAGCAGAGATATACTAAACCAACTATGAGAAATGACTAAAAGATTAGCAATTGATAGATGGCCAACACCGATACATCTACATATATCACGTCACAATTTCATAACATAAGAGTCTATGACATTTTCCATTTTCCATCCTTGTTTAATAGATAAGCATACTAGCTATATCAACACATCAACAGATAAACATCTTACGCATCAACAGATAAGCATATGAGCTGTATCCACACTTCACTAGACAAGCATATGAGCTGTATCTACACTTCACTAGACAAGCATATGAGCTGTATCTACACTTCTCAAAGATAAGCCTATGAGCTGTATCTTCACTTCTCTAGACAAGCATATGAGCTGTGTCTACGGAGTTCATCCCCATCTCCTCCAATCCTATCCGGTTTAGAGGTACATCCCCCATCTTCCCCTAAATCGCGGAGTACATCCCCCATCTCCTCATCTACACACATTGCATATAAACACAAGGGTTCTATACACAATCAATCAATACATAGAATTAATGTATTCAATTTACCGTCATTCTCTATGACACATTCAATCGATTAGTTTTAGTTTGCCTAATCATCATGTATTGTCTACAACAATCAAGACTATCCTCCACCGATAGCCCAAAGCAGTTTTTTCTATACAGGAAATAAATGCAACAATGGATATATAATCAACATTTCAACTCGGTGAGTGATAAATAATCCAACTACATCCTTTTATCCCATAACTTCCCAAATCAATTCCTCATTTCTCGTAATTAATTATGCAAATTAATTAACCAATGTAATTAGGGCATTTTCCATAATTTACATTACAACCCTTAGGTTCCATTTTCATTAATGTCTTAACATTAATTTCACATTTTCCATGCCAAACATGCATCTAGGTTTGATATAGTTAAAACCCCAACTCTTGTAAATTTACACAAAAGCCCCCAAACTTTCACAAGTTACTAAACCAACCCCAACATCTCAAAATACTAAAATTTAAAGACAAAGCTCATAAAGAGAAGTAGGATACCCTACCTCAAAGTTTCAGCTCCAATGGAGATGGAGACCAAAACCAAAATGCTTCAAATTCCGAAATTTTCAGATTAAAATGTAGCCCTAACGATCAACACAACTTTCGTAAAGACCAAAAGTGAGCAAACAACTCCTACTAGATCAAATCTAAGGGAGAAGGGCTGGTTTTAGAGTGAGAAGCTCTGAAAATGGCTTTTTTGAAAAAGTAAGAGAGAGAAAAGATCTTGAAAAAGTGATCCAAAAGTCGGATCTCAGATTTATATAAAAGTCGGCCTGCTCGAGCGTCACTCACAGACTCCCGCTCGAGCATCAACAATCCCGCTCGAGCGGCGGATACACACTCCCAGAACTTTTGCAGACAGGTCTCCCTCTCGAGCTTCCAACTCCCCGCTCGAGCGGCACTCACACAATCCCGCTCGAGCGGCCAATCCCATGCTCGAGCGTCGAACACTGCACAAGAAATACTGGATGGGTGAAACTCCCGCTCGAGCGCCAAAACCCCCGCTCGAGCGGACAGGTCAAAATCTGGGCAACTAGTTTTGGTTTCTAATCTCAACCAACCTGTAACAAATCTGCCCAACACATCCCATAACTCAAATACAAAGTAAGAAAGGATGTACACCAGGTAATAATCAACTATTATCATCCACGGACACATGTCCAGATCACTGTACAACAAGGGTAAACCCGGGATCGCTATAACCTCCCCCCCTTAAAGAATTTCATCCCCGAAATTAAACACAAGTTCAAAAATAGGTTTTCCACATGTCCAGCAATATTACGACATGATATTTAAACATTTCGACCCATTACCGGTCAATTCCATCCCTTTTCAAGAGGTATTTCACAATGTATATTATAAGTGCATTACTATCATGTAATTTCCTTCCATTTCCAACCATTTTCAACATGCATGGTTCACAGTTCATATCATTATCAATATACATGATACAACTCCAATTCTACAATATAGCCAACATATGCAATATCATAATCAACTTCCCATATCAAGGTAAGTTCTACAACATACTTCCATTAAACCAAAACACTACCAATGTTTTACAACTTGAGACATATATAAAGCTCTTAAGTCCAACAATACTACAAAGTCTAAATACAAGATTACACATCAATAAACATGTCTGGATATTTCTCGCGGACCTCCAACTCATGTTCCCAAGTGGCCTCCTTCACTCCGTGATGTTTCCACAAAACCTTCACTAAAGGGATGGTCTTGCCACGCAGGACTTGATCCCGTCTATCCAAGACCCGAACTGGTCTCTCCTCATACGAGGCATCCTCATCTACCTCTAAGTCGGTCCAATCTAATACATGTGATGGATCCGGCTCATACTTCCAAAGCATACTAACATGAAAGACGTCATGCACTCCGGACAACTGCGGCGGCAAGGCCAAACGATAAGCAACCTCGCCAATCCTCTCAAAGATCTCAAAAGGCCCAATAAACTGAGGGGATAACTTCCCACTCTTCCCGAACCTCATCAAACCTCGCCTAGGTGATATTTTCAAGAAAACATGATCACCTACCCCAAACGCCAAAGGCTTCCTCCTACGGTCGGCATAACTCTTTTAGCGACTCT